CTGAATAGGCGCACAATTTTGTGTCTGTATGTTCCTGGATTCCAGAGACTAATTTCTAAACAAGTTCAAAAATGTAAGTGGATTCCGCCTACAACATTTCTGTGGATTCCGCAAATGTAAGTGGATTCCGCAAATTTATGCTGATTCCTCTTACAATTTGTGGATTCCGCTAACAATTTGTGGATTCCGCTAACAATTTGCGGATTCCGCTAACAATTTGTGGATTCCACTTACAATTTGCGGATTCCACTTACAGTTGCCGATTCCAGGACAGATTAAATTTACTAAACACATATTATTATTTGTTTGTGGATTCCACAAACTGTTCCGGATTCCGCAAATTTTATTGCGGATTCCACAAATGTTGTTGCGGATTCCTTAAAATTGCCTGTTTTTGGAGCGATTTTAAGCAATACAGTGTTTTAGCTATTTGTTTGTGGAATCCAAAAAAGCAATGAAGATAAAAAAAAGTAAAATTGCTGTGGATTTCCGCGACAAATCAGATTTTGGCCTGTTCCTGAATCCGCTGCACAAAATGCAAAGTTTGGCCTCGTAATGAACTTTTTTAAATGAAATGGGTGGTTCTGAACAGAAGTACAGAAAAGAAAAAAATCAATGTCAAGCATTGCAACTTAATTGGTTTCGTCTTCTGTTCCCTTTAAGTTTCATTAAAATTTAGGTTTTTAGCTTGTCATTATTGGTCCATTAGCGACCAAAAACGTGAACAGATTAGCAAACATGGAGACAATAAGTTCCGCATTCGAGCCCTCAATAATTGAACAGAGAGAGTAGACAGGGGGAGGGGAGGGAGGTATTCGAGGGGGGGGGGGTGATGAATCGATGAAACAAGCGACGAGAATTTAAAACAACTAATTTCGAAAATCTGTCATTGTTAAGCGCATTTATGCATTAGTAAAACAAGAAGGAATAGTTTTATTTCGTTTCCTGTTTTAGAGGCTAACAAAGACGCAAAGCAAGACAAGAAAAAAAGAATTGGCTGAAAAAATAAAGAAAGCAAATTGTTCCAATGATAGTGGAGACTGCACAGAGGAAGAAAAACCAAAGAAAACCCGCCGACCGCGGACTTTTTTGTTTCACTTCCTTGATATATTTAAAGACGAAGCCTTCGGCAAAAATGCCCAATTTTGACATGTTTTCTTTTCTTACTGATTTCCTGTTCTGTGATTTGAGAATGCGGTTAAGTGTTTGAAACCATCGCTTTATTACCCATTGAATGTTACAGGCTAAAATTTGATCATTGTATTGTAGCTTTTTGTACCTTTTCGCCCATTTGATGAAAATCATGTTGATCCACTAGAAGAAACGGAAAACCAATTTAAAAACGACAAAAAAAGAAAAAGAACAATTTTTTGTCCCTGTTTATAATTCAGCTCGATTGTTGTTCTATCTTTTTGTGTCTATAATTGCTTAAAATCGATTCGACGGAAGACAGACAAAGGCTCCATTCTAAATTCCCCGCGACTTCATTTTACGCTTTTGCACCAATTTTGTTTCCGTGACATCGAAAAAAAAAATAGTTTAATTGCACTTTCTCCATACAATCTCTCCCACCCTTACAATTCTGGGTTTTACCAACTCCGAAACCATTTTAGATTTGCCATTTGATAAGAAATGTGGTCAATTAGCGTCGAATGTTTCTCGGAAAACCAAAATTGAAAGCAATTGCTGATAAATGCTAATCCAAAGTTAGTGTTCGGATTTTGATATGGAAATATTTACTAACCACAATCGAATTACTTAAATTGGAATTCAAGAAAGTTTATCACTCAATTTTTGAAATTGTAAATCGATCATCCTTGTTTGTTGCGCAATAATTTATACGAAAACAAATTGATTAAACTTGGAAGTAAATTTGCATACTTCGGGTTTCGCAGAATTTGTTTTAATTTCACCAATCTCCTTGCGTATTTGATTTAATAATCCACTAAATGGTAATTGAAAAATCCGACAATGTCAATAGACGTGAATGAAACAAGAGATGACTCGTTTTTGAGATATGACTACCGACTCGGCTTTGTCGTCCGCTACTTCCTGCAAGACGAGCCTGCATGTGACGACAGCTGGATTCTTTTCCCCGCAGAGGTATCACATTTCCCAATATTTAGCCAGCTATAGTTTAAGCCAAAAAGGAACTATAAGAAACAGTTATAAGAAACAGCCAAAAACTATAAGAAACAGCCAAAAGGAAAGAGCCAAAAATACTTAGTAGTTTGAAAATACTCCAAAAACTTGAAAGACGATATTCTCGGGAAAAATTTTCTTATGAGAATGTAAATTTTTGAGAAATTTTTAAGAAACTGACCCGAAAAAAAGGTTTTGACAAGCTCTTCGAAGCTAAGTTTGCCCATAAAATTGGTGTGTTGGATCAAATGATTCTCAGGTTCGACTCCATATTTTTGGTTCATCTACAAAAAAATTACAAAAATATTCAAAACATAACTTTTGAATCTAAAAATCATTGCGTTTTCTTACGCTATTCTTACGCTGAAAATCATTGCGTTTTCGAAAAAACCCAAAAAAACACGACATATATAGGTGTCTTCACTGTGTTCTTTGACTCTCAATCAGTATCGAACAAATCTTTTCCCTCATATCGATTTTTGTAAATGAAAGGAGTTTGAAAAGTTCCAATTTAATTAATTACCAAAGGACAAACTTTGTTCTTGTTTCGCGTAATCGGCTATTGAAAGCAGCCCCAAAATATTTTTTTTTAAATTGTGTCATTTAATTTTAAAATAAGAAAAACAGAGATTTAGAGATTTATAACAGGAGTAGAAAAAATTTGTCAGTCTTTTTGTTTATTTTTTGAATAATCTTGCTAAAAAAACTTTTTGGTAGAGATATCGGTTTTCTTAGCTAAAAATTTACAAACTAACACAAATTTTTTATTTTTAGTTCAAATATACATCTGATTTTTTTGTTCCGATCATTTGAAAAATTGGGAACAACTTTGTTTCAGTTTTTGTTTTATTTTTTACTTTTTTGTTCTTCTTTCAATTAATATTAGATACCACATGTAATCTTCGGACTGGGTTGAGTGACATATCATATTAAAGCTCTTCCAGTCGGAATCCGAACGACGTTTTAAAAAGATCGAACAAATAAAGTGACAATAACTTGTTAAATTGGTCATTTAGGGTTAAAACATCTTGACTTATCAAAACGAAAACTAGTTTTAAAAAAATTGTTGGCAGATCCATGGCAAAAAAAAAAAAATTCTTAATCAAACAATATTGTTTTGAAAAGATAAAAATTTTAAAATTTTTCGTAGAATTTTGTTTTTTGATTTTTTGTTTGTAATTCTTGTTTTGAAAAAACAGCTGTCGATTAAACCTAAATTACATCACACCATGTACAAAAACTAGCTTAATTTGAAGAAATTAATAATTTGAAGAGCTTTTATTTGTAGTTTTGATGAATATGGTCGGAACATTCTGTGACACTTGAACTACAACTGACTATCTTTGGTTACTTTTTTTTTCATTTTCTCGCTAAATCAGGTACAGCAAATAAACATCGAAATATATATAATAGAAATTCCCTTTCTGTAGTTGTTTGAAACACGATAAAAAAAAAGAAAAAAAAACAATCTGAGTGTTGGAAAAAACTTGTTTGAAATTTTTGATTTTTGGTCCAATTTCCAGTGAAAAAAGTGAGCAAGTAGGCTTAAAATAGGCATAAAATAGCTCATGTATGCTTACTTTAAGATGTGATAGCTTAACTTTACTCAAATAAAGTTAGTTTTTGAGTTTGTTTGCGCAGTTTTGGTAAAATAACACTTTCAAATTTTTTCTTTTTGATGTTCAAAAAATTTTAAAATTTTTTTATTTTTCTAAAAAAATTTGTTTTCGTTTTTCTATTGACTTTTCTCCATTTTTTTCCACTTTGCCCTGATCATTATGACGAAAATGCCTAAAAACAAGAAAAAAACATTTTTTTGTTGTATTTTTTAAAACAGTTTTCATTGCATAGCTTGCGATTGATCCTGCGTTAATGGTCACAGAGAAAACATAGTCGGTTCGCTTGATCGATTAAAAAAAAGATCTTTTTTCTTCACATGATTACATTTTTTTCACAATATTTTGACCTACGACATTAATAAAGATGAAAAAAATGACAATTGGTTCAACTGGCGAGCAGATGACACACTATCTTGACTTTTCTTCCCAGGTTCTGTGGAATCGGTGGCTTCGAGGAACACTTTATGTGCTGGGTCTGGGGTTCCTGTTTGTGGGCATATCCATAGTGAGTGACATCTTCATGCAGAGCATTGAGATGATTACGAGCAAGAAGAGGGTGGTCAAGTATTATGATGCAGAGGCACAGGTGAGTTGTCGCGGTTACTTTTCGTTTGGTCGCGCCGGTGGCGGTTACTTTTCGTTTGGTCGCGCCGGTCGCGGTTACTTTTCGTTTGGTCGCGCCGGTCGCGGTTACTTTTCGTTTGGTCGCGCCGGTCGCGGTTACTTTTCGTTTGGTCGCGCCGGTCGCGGTTATTTTTTCTTCGGTCATGCCAGTCGCAGTCACATTGCCTCGGTCCACAAAGTTTGAAAACACCAAATTTTGGTCGCGGTAGCCTGAAAGTATCCAATTTTGATCGCTGTGGTCTGAAAATATCCAATTTTGACAGCGGCAGTCTGGAAATACCAAAATTTGGTCGCGACCGTTTGATCATATAATCACAACCTCGAATCAGACAATCTTCGAAGCACATTTGATAAGCAATCCAGGTGCTCCTTATGATTTGGAGCTTTTAGAACATTTCAAACCTTATCTTAAGTGTTTCTTTTCGGCACTTAGAACGAGGAAGTAAAGGTTGGAAATTGTGTTTATAGAACGGACATTTAACATTATGAAAATAAATATAATCTTGTATGCATTAACTAGTTATGATTTCTATTGATCAAAAGATTGCCTGCTTGCGAGAGGAATTTGCACCAGGTATTGCATTGGCTGACAGAACGATGATTTTATCAAATCATAAAAATTCCTATTTGTTTTTGGACTGAAATATGAGAAACGGACCATGCTTAGACAGTCTGCAAGGCCTTTTGTAGATCCTCTGCGAATCGCAGAAACGCGAATTATTTTTTTATTTTAGGTGATGGCGCAGAAGGAAGTGTTGATCTGGAACGAGACAGTGGCCAACTTGACCCTCATGGCACTTGGTAATCATAACGAGAGTAACTAAACCAGCCGAAGTATCAACCAACCGAAAATTCGTGGAGTATTTAAGCCAGCGGAAACGTTACGTCACATCAATAAGTTTGCATGACTTTCGTAACTTTTACATAACTATTATATAACAATTACGTATTTTCGGCTGGTTGATACTTCGGCTGGTTTATATACCACCAAACATGACACCAGTTTCATCTGGTTTTCTCGGCTGATGATTTTATGTCCTGACTGAGGTGCTCGACTTATTTTTCGACTTTCAAAGTCGACAAGGTGTAGTTTTACGTCTGAAAATCAGTTTTTTGAACCAAAAATGGCGGCAAAGACGATAATTTTTCGGCCCAATTGCTTGTATGATATTTCATGAATGCAATTCATGCTTTACTAGCATAGTATTACAGCTTAGAGAGCGTTGAAATGAAATTCAACATGAATACTGCGAATCGTTATCAGCCTAAAAATCTCGTTAACGACACATTTACACACTACTATAGAATCGGCTTCAATAGTGGTATACGTGAAAGCAGGGGCGGATTTAGGGGGGGGGGGCGGGGGGGCGGACGTTCCTCTCTCAGGGATTCGACCCCCTGCCGACCCAAAGGGTCCCCCTTTGGTACTTTTTAAGAAATCCATTTTTTGCCGACCGACCCTAAAATTTTTCTAAAGGTGCCTTTGGCGCCAATATATACTAACTTTGAGGGGGAGCGCGCGCCAAAAAAACGCGATTTTTTTGTCAAAATTTTTCAAAAAGTGCCTAAAAACGGCTTTTTTGACCTGTTTTTTCAAAAATTTGCCTGCGGCGCAGAAAATTTGGCAAAAACAGGGACCTTTTAGTGCTTTAGAAGAGCTCGGAAAATCAATTTGGTCGACCTAAAAAAAAAAGGGCGTCAAAATTTTCGAAAATTTTTGAAAATCCGCCCCCCCCCCCTCGAAAAAATCCTGGATCCGCCCCTGCGTGAAAGGTCTAGATGCAAAGATGAAAGTTCATAAGAAAGAGATTCACCCTAGAAAACAACTCAGTCTGGAATAAGGGTAAATAATAGAAACGGACTATGCTTGATGACAGTGACAGTGATTGTGAGACAGGCGTGATAGCTGTTCATAGAATCGCAGAAACCACAATTAGAATGTCAGTCTAAATGCGCTCGCAATAATTTTTTGGGCTAAAATGGAACATTTATTGGATCTACTTAACAATCCTCCCCCCTATTGTATCTACTAAAAAATCCCCCCTTCTTGAAGGGGGGGAGGATGTTAACTTGATCCCATTGGTTTTAGGAAGCAGTGCTCCTGAAATCATGCTATCCACAGTGGAAACCTGTCTGAATTTGGGAAACGAGAAGAAGAAGGACGGGCTGGGAGTCTTCACCATCATAGGCAGTGCGGCCTTCAACCTCCTCATCATAATCTCCGTCTGCATCTCGGCTGTAGGCCCCGCCCCTAAAAGGATCCGCCAGTTCGGGGTGTTCCTCTTGACATCCTTCTGGTCCATGTTCGCCTATGTTTGGCTGTTGATTGTACTCGACTATGTCACACCCGGCGAGGTTTTTAGCTTTTTCCATCTTTTTTAATGGATATTTTTCAATATTCTTAATGGGTCTAGGACAACAGGCCGACGGAACTTCAAGCCCAATTTTTTACCTTTTCAAGTGCACGACATGAAAATGTTATTAATATGACTAATTTTCAGTTTTTGTGACAATTTCTAAAAGGTGGTCCATTAAAACTGTTTGATATTACTACAATTTTTTAAAGTTTTACTGAATATGCGTTTTGAGCTCATGGTTGAAATCCCGTCGGCTTGATGTTTCAACAATACCCATCCCTATTCCAATGGAGGGGGGGGGGGGGGTGATTTGTCATTAAGTACACAATGAGCTTAGGCTTCACCGTTGAATAAGACTATTTAGTGGTAGGTAGGGTTGTTGAGTTAACTCATTTTTGCTACCATTTTACAAGCTCAACTTTGGGGGATCGAGAAAACTCTAGATTCGACTTTGTCGTCTTATAACCAACCATGGAAATCTTTTATAGCCAACCATGGAACTTTTTATAACCAAATATGGAAATCTATTATAACCAAACATGGAAATCTATTATAACCAAACATGGAAATCTTTTATAACCAACCATGGAAATCTATTATAACCAAACCAATCATGGAAATCTATTATTGGAAATCTCTTATAACCAACCATGGAAATCTATTATAACCAACCATGGAAGTCTATTATAACCAACCATAGCAGCAAAACTGAGTTAGAGATAGGATAGAGATTAAAATAATAATTATTAAACTGAGGTGTTGTTGATTGGCTGATCTGCCGGCAGGTAGACTGGTGGGAGGCGCTGATCACTCTTCTCTTCTTCCCCCTTTTGGTGTTGTCAGCCTACTACACAGACCTCATCACTGCCAAAAAGAGAAAGAGGAAGAAGGCCGCTTTCGTCGAACGGGTAAGAATACGATAAAAATAGTGAAGACACTAAAACACTATAAAGACCCTTTTCTGACCGGAGGGTAGCTACTTGTTAGGTTGAAAAGCCTGTTCTAGCTATCCTGATGCAGTGAGTGATTACGTATGTATTTCTTCACTGTATCGAATAATTGAAGTGAATTGAATTAAATTTCTCCACAGCAGGTGAACTTTTGAAAACACATGTCAAAAATGCCGTTTTTAGGAAAATTTTGGAAATTTTGACCAAAAATATGCGTTTGGGGTTATGTCTTCGGGCGGGTATTAGCCTTTTTTAGTCTTACTTTTCTCCAAGCAAAATCAGGTACCACAATAATCTTAGGAATGGTTCCCTTGTGATATATCATATTAATGTCCCTTCAGTCGTGATTTGACCGAAGTTGTGAATGTTCAAAAAAAGAATTATGTGTCGAGATAAGCCGATTTGAAGTTTTTGGTTTTTAGTTTGATTTGAGTGAGGAAAGCGAGTTAAGCGAATGAATAGTTGTGTTATAATTGGAAAATTTTTCGCTTAATACTTAAAGAAATTATTAGCTATACTCCATAAAACTAGTTATCAAAGCTTTCTTGGTTAAAATTATTTATCTAAATTAATCAAATATAAAAATTGATCTAATAAAAATTTTCAAAAAAACGTCAAATAAAAACACTGAATTTTTGACTACTTGAAGTGGGCAATTTTTGACCACTTGAAATTTGTCTAAGTTTTTTTGAAGTCATTCACCAGATTCAAAAACGGAAATGGAACACAAATTTTGATATTTCGATAAGAGGTAAGCAAAGCAGATAGCTCGAGGATGGCGTAAGATGGCGTAATAACTGCCCGTTTCTTATTCATTTTTCATAGAAAATTGTAATGAGTTATGCTTAAATTAAGGACATTCTAATTTTTTAATTAATTTTTTTTAATTCATTAGTCGGCATAATTTGTGCTAATTGTCAAAGCAACTGTCTAGTCTTACTATGACTGTTGTTGTTCTGATCACTCTATGAATTGGGAAGAAACCATGGCGTAGGGTACGTTTTTCTGCCCAATTTTAGTTGCCTGGAAGAAAACTCGTAAAAGGTCAAATGTGGTATCTTTTGAAAGCCTTACTAGTCGTGATTTTATAAAATAATATCCTAGTGTCGTCCATTTTCTTTTTGGTCAATTTTTTTATTTGCTCAACTAAATGACGCAAATTTTGCAAATGACTCTCAAAAAAATTTTTTCTGCCAATCATAAAATATGCTCAACAAAAACCATTAAGGTCATGATGCAGAATCAAAATAGTTCACTCAAACTTTAGTAAAATGATATAAAGTTTAGAGAAAATCTTAAAAATTTTCTTAATTAAAAACGTTTCTTAATTTAATCATTGTGGTCAGGTTCTGTTCCACGGACACAGCAATCGTCTAGCCTTTTGTTCAAACAATTATTTTCAAAAAAAGTATAACAAAAATTTTTATTTCTTTTTCAATGTAAACATCCGCATCCAAGCCCGAAAAAAATTGTAAACTTGCAATGTTCAAAACGTTCGAGATGTTCCGGGAAGGGTCTCGAACTTTTTTTTGAGGACTGGTTTTTAACGTGTTGTTGATCCACATTTTTAAAGTCGACCTAATTGATTTCCGACCTCACTCAAAACACTATGAAAACTTCTTCTGGCCAATTTTCTGCGCTGCAGGCAATTATTTTGCGCTTGTTCCCCTAAAAATTGTTTAAAAAAAGTTGAAAAAGTAGAAAATTTTTATGGCCGATCAGTCAAAAATTGGTTGCCATAAATGATGTCAAAGGGGGAAATTTTGGGTCAGAAGGGGGTCGAATCTTTGAAACAGATCCACTCTGGCTGCCGCTTGAATTGAATGAATTCCATAACATGTCAACGTATATTTATATCGAGTATTTTCCATCTTCAAATATTCAAATTTCAAGAAAACCAAAAATTCACCTTTTTTGTTTCTTACCATAAATACCCATGCTCATTGCTTCAGATTAACTCCCATTATTTCAGTTTTTTTACTTCTAATTCAACTCTCATTTCTTTGACCTCAAAGCCAAAACTTTGCTTCACTGGCTCCATGTCTTCCAACGCCCGCCATGCTAGTTTTCAACGTTCCGACTGTCCTTTAAATTGACTATTTTCTTGGAAAATTGTGTTAGAGCCATAAAAATTTTGAAAATTTGATTTTGTTTCTTTGATTGCGGCTCAATACCTAGTCGATATCAATTGATAAATATTTCTTTGGAGTCTTAAATTGATTCAAGGATACCAATTACGTTGTCCTAAATACCATTAGAATCAGCGCAGAATAACACGCCGCTCTCGAATGATTCGCTCTTACGCCTGAAAATCATAGAATGTTTTTTTAGAAACGCGCCCAAATTAGTCCTAACTAGAGAATTTCAACTATGAAAAGTTATTAAAATCAGTCGCGATTTTCATACTTTTTGTTCCGACTTTCGATACGAAAGTAACGGAATATTTGTGCTCGGGGTGGGTTTTTTTTTCTTCAGACAAATTTCGACTTTTTAACTAGCCATTTTTGACGGAATTTTTTTGCATCATTCGAAAGGTATTGTTGTCCTGAGCTCAAATTTGAAAAGATTTTTCACCTGTGATCATTTTTCGAAAAGTTACGAGGGTTTAAAGATTGCCATTTTGGCCAATTTGGGACAATTAACGCGCGATATATTTCGCGCTATTAACGCGTAAGCGGAGAGTTAATCCGTCTTAGAAATCGTTCCAAATTGGTTAAAAGAAGCTTATGTGCCATAATTGGTTTGTTACAAGGAGCGAAATCTATCCTCTTGTACTTTGTATGGCGTGTGGGGGGATGATTTTCATAACATATTTCAAATTTTAGAAAAATTTTTTTTTTGATTTTGTTTTATTTCATCGAATTTTTAAATGTTATTACTGCTCCATAAACCTTAAAAGGCAGTGGGAACATTCAGGGCTTCGTACTGATACGAGCACTCTTGTTTAACTTTGAAGTCAAGGTGTCAGTTTTTATTGTGGCATAAAATTTTCTTTTGATAAAAATTGTTCCGATTCATGAAATATGTCTGAATAGCAAAAAACCTCTAATTCAATTATATATAATCCACTACTTTCTGTGGAAAATCATTTCCGCTTAGCACTCAATGAGTGAACAAGAAATTCAATTGCACCTGAAAATTTTAAATTTCAAAATTTCATTCAAAATATCACCAAAAAGAAAAAGCTGATTTCGATATTAATCAATTTTTTTTTGAATTTTTGTATATCAATTTTGTTTTTTAAAAAGTTCAAAAACGTCAGGTTAATCTTTTTTTTCGAAATTTGGAATGTCTATGCTTGAAGTTTTTGATTTTAAAATTTAAAGTTATGAAGAGTTTTTGATAGTTTTATACAGTCTGAAAAGTATTGATGCCCGAAACTGAAAAATAAATGTTATTTTACTGTAATTTTTTTGTAACGCTTTTTTGTTTTAGGCAAATGATGATTTGGCCAATTTGAACTAATTAACGCTTGAGATAAGGGGCACTTTCAAAGCGTAGGTTGCGAACAAATTCGGCTGATAAATCAACCAGTATCGGTTTTCATAAATGAGTTATTTCTTATCTTTAAGAGTTCAATAGACGTATGCATCACTCTGGTAACTTGCTGAAAAGATATGAGCAAAAACTGAACAATATATACATGTTCTTTGTGCCAATTTTTAGTGCATAATGAAAACCTTAAATTAGTTTTTAAATTTAAATTCAAATGTGCCAGGGAAGTGGGAAACAGACAACTCCTTCGTGAACTTTACGGGGCAGTCCAATCACTCAAGGCATGGCGCTGATACGATTAGTCTTATTACCGTGTTTTATCGTTGGATTTAAAAAAATACATCCTTGATTAGACCATCAAATGGAAAAAAAATTGCAAAGCGCAAAGTTTCTAAATTTCTTATCACATTCTGTTTCTGACTCGTGTCGAACTATATCTTTTTTCTGCTTAGATAAAAAATAAATAGCTCGCAGACCCGAAAACAGGAAACATAAGTTGTCGAAACAAGCAAAAACTTGAACTCCTTGTCACAAACAATGAGTTTTAATGTTATAAAATTTATATGCGTTATTAACAAAGAGATTTTTATCAAATTGCAGAAAACAAAATGTTCTTAAACAAATTGAGGACCCGATTTGTATAAATTCATAAAGTGTTCTACTAGCAATAACTTTTTAGCTACAATTGTTTTTGCTGCACGACCATTTTTCTCTTAATTATCATGTTTTGACCTTTCTTTATCATATCTAGGAAGATGGGGTAGTAGTATGTTCACATTGGTGCAATTTTACGCCATAGCGCATTTTTTTTTTCAATCATTTCAACACAGGCGACTTTTTTTTGGAAGGTCAACATTTTTTCTACGGGTGCTTTCGTACTAGTGTTTAAGAGGGGAACTAAACTACACCAAGCAAATATAATTATCGCTATTCATTTTTTAAAAAGTGCTTATATATTCAAGTTTACTTTAACAACCCAGCAGTACAGAAAATCTCATTACCGCTCCAAAACCAAATTTGAGGCCTAAAAAACTTAAAACTTAAGCAGTGCCGTTCAAATATTGTTTATCAGGGCAGAAAATGTTTACGATAAGGTTTTTACACTAACACATCTCATACTGAAAAAAAATTTCGCCTCAAATCGACAGAAGGCAAGGAACAAAGTTACGGATTGTCAGAAGCTAAAACTAAGCCATTCGCTATTGAGTATTCCAAAGTCGGAAATCGTGAAAACTTGAAGAAAAAAATAAATAAATTCAAAGCAATAGACTTGATGAAATGCAAATAAGAAACCAGCATATAAGCAATCTGGCAATTACGTTTTGCTGCTTGCCAGTTGTTACAAAGTTAGACAATTCTGATTTGTTGAATAATTTTCATATAAGATTAGTTTGTTCATTCCGTCATCCGAACAGCCACTTAAAATTGATTAGACAACAATTGGTAACAGGCGACAGTTTGTA